TATCACTCGTATAAATGACAATAAAATGTTAATATTATTAAAATAATATTTATATACTCGTAAGAAGACAATAAATGAAAACCAATAAAAAAAATGAAAAAAAAAATTATTGGATACAAATGACAAAAAACGCGAATTTTTGAAATAAATCACCGAAAATTGGTAACATGAATTTGGTAGTAAACCTACAAGCATATGCTCTACTACAATAATTTCCGATCAAATCAAAAATATGAAAAATTATAAACAATCTGTTAATACCCCTAATACACTCACTCACTCCTCCATCTACTATTAAGAAAAATTGCTACAACTCATTCTTAACTTGAAGCCGTGCGTTATGTGTGTTGCCAACTTCGCATTGCGTTTTTTCCGCATGTAAAATTTATTAATACGTAAACGTCAAGGAAAGGGTTAATTTTTTACTTTTTTGGTGTTCCTTATATCGTTTGTTGGTTGCCTGATGATGGTTATAGGTAGGAGTAGACGACGGCATCAACATTATTTGATTAAAAAATGAGTTTGTACGTGGCATAAAAACGTCTTTTTTGTCTAATAAAGTATATGACTAACGAAAACAATAACAACAATAACAAAAACAACAACAGCAGAAAATAGAAAACTCATATGTTAGCAGAAGACAACAAACTCATTAGCATATGAGAAATACAGCAACAAAATCCGCCTAAAGTAGCTATGACAGTCACGTTTGACAGTTGAGAGTTTCATTTATAAAAATACAACAACAACAACAGTAAAAAATTACAACAAAAACAGCTTTTGTTGCAAATGGCAAGATTGTTTAATGGCATGAAAACACCCTGAAACATGAGGAAGTTTCAAGGAAGCTGCGTTTGTAAATAAAAAAAAAATTTAAATAATTATTGTTTATATAGTAAAATATATATATGTATAACAGTATTTTGTTTTTATAAATACAAATATGTATTTATCTATATATGCTTATATATAAAACCTGCTTTGGAATTTAAAAAGATTTTAATTAATTGAATAAAAATCGTGAAAGCATACATTAAGACAACGTCGAAGGCATAGGAAAAAGCGTACAGCAGATGTTGGGAGTGTCAGTATTGAAGTGTAATGTCGCAATAAAGCAGCTTTACTGGAAATCCTTTTTGAAAAAAAAAATTCTTTTATATAGACAAAATGATGGCGTGAGTAATGAACAAACAAATGACGTCTTAATGGTAATGTGTATTTTAAATATTTTTTTTTAAAAAATATTCTTTATAAAATGTCATATATATAACACATGCTTTGGATTTGAAAATCTTTATATAGAATTTGTTATTTAAACAATAACACAATTACGTACTTAAATGGTATTTAAAGAGGACTACTAAGTTGAAAAAAAGTTTTTAGGCAACTATAAACTAACTAAATTTACATTAAGATTAAATTAGTATGGAATAAAAGTTAACAATATTTGACGCTTCTAGTGGAACACAGTATCGCAACAATAGATCTTTTGTACCTGATCTTCTGACCATAAGTGAACAAAAAAAACCTTCAGCGCTTTGCTGATTTTTCAATAATAGACAACATTTACGATCTCTAAACAATTATAAAAATTGACAAAATGTTTGATCGAATAGATCAGATGATATAGATAGATGAAGATATTTTATAGGCATAGATGTTATTTTATCACCTCAAATAGAAAGCACTTAGTTCGTTGAAGATTTTAGGTATGAAGCTTCGATAGGATCTCTACGGCCCAAATAAATTTGAACAATGACAAAAATTGATTGGGAATGTCACTCCGTTTTAGGGACAAATTATTGTATTTTATCACTTTAAATACAAGCACTTATAAATTTGAAGATTCTTTATTATCAGACGGCTAAAGGTTCTCTCGTGATCTAAGTAAAATCTGTCACAAGAATTAACTAGTAGTGTCATCACGTTCTAGGCAAGTTATTAATTATAATTAAATAAAATAAAAAGTAAGGTAACTTTAAATAAAAGTTTTTAAGGTTTTGAATTATACGTTTAGTCCAATTCGTCATTCTTATCGTTTTAATTTTACTGCTAAATTTTGATATTAACATACAACACAATCAACAATTAGAAATTACTGAATTTTTTCTTTAATTACTTCATTAAGAAATAATAACTCTAAGTATAATAAATTGAAAACATTTAATGAGCTCATTTTCTATATCTAACAATTAATTAACGTCGAGAATAGTTTAATCTTAAAATTCGCTGTAGTTTAATTTAATCCAATTTATTCCAAATTATGTTCAATATTTAAGTTTTTCTTTAATTTAAAATCAAATATTTCTCTCATTTTTAATAACAATAATAAACATTTTACAATAACAGCAATCAAAAGAATAAATGACCAAAAATTTCTGTTGAAATTTTTGATTATAAATTTTCATCAATTAAAAATCGCTCCGTAAAATTAATTTTAATCATATAACGTGCATTACAAGCACATAACAACAACAACGTTTTTCCCCCATACACTGATAAAATATATTTGATTGTCATTAAAAATGTTTTGTACTCTTTAAAAAGTTTGTCTTGTCAACTTTTTATATATTATAAAATTTTTCATATATGTTACTTCCTGCTGCAGCAATATCGTCTTATGTGTCAAACTTTTGATGCGCATACCTTCTCCTTCTACTGTTCCTCCTCCTACCATTTACCCTAACTTAACGCAATTACCGCGCTCAAGAAAAATTCCCTCATCAAATTTGCCAATTATCATATTTTCAACAAAATACAACAACAAACAAAGCAGCAGCATGTATGGTAGAACACTTTGTGTATGGTGTGTACGCACACACGCATACACATACAAATATACGAGTATGTGCATATATGCAACAAAAATACACACAGTTATGTTATGCTAAAGAAATATGTACCTCAAGTTACTGCTAAAGAAGACGTTTAACTTGTATCACTACTGTTGTTGTTGTTGTGTTGGTTATTATTATTGTTGTTGTTGTTATCTGTATTGCAATTTACCTTTTTATTGACAGAAATCAGTGCTGGCGCGCTTGCTGTTGGCTGTTGACTACGTGCTGCTTTGCTGCTTGCTTGTTCTTGTTATTGTAAATTTTTACCCTTACGGTTAATTTTATTAAAAATAATTTTGTTGTTATAAACATTGATGTGTGCTGTACACATACAAAAAATACAACAAAAATGAAATCAAAATTCATTTTTCGAAAAGGCAACAACACAGTTGAACTTTTTAGTAAGAATTTTTCATCGTAAAGACATTCTGATGCATTGAACAAAAACCAAATACACAAAAAACAAAAAAAAACAAAGAAAACCAGAGGAAAAAAATACCCACAAAGAAAATTGGTAAATTTATTGTTTTTTGGCGCCCCAAACCTGTGGCAGTGGTCTCTGCTGAGGTTTCTTGCCTTCTTTTCACAACAAATGTGTGGTCTTAATGTTGTCTGTCGTCAGAGATTTTGTAAGGCACGCGCACACATATGCGTCAATGTATATTTAAGAAAATTTAAATATACATATTCTTACGTTTATATATAACACACTGTTACCTTCTACGAATATGCACGTAAAATGCTACCTTTCGTTTGAACAATAAAAGCAACAACACCATTTTGGCATATTAAACAATATAAATTTCATATTGAATTACACCGCAAGTGGTTATTGTTTGTTTAGCTATTTTTATGCCAAAATATAAGTATAAGTTAAAATAAGAAGCAGTAAAATAAGCTACAAGCATAACAACAACAACAACAACAACAGCGCCATCGACAACTCAACATAACTGAAACAAGTTAACAACATTGTTGAGCATATTAAATATATAGGAATATGCATGCAACATGAGAATATTGTTGCGCTATTGCTGTTAATGCCGTTCCTGTGCGGCGTTGTTTAAGGGAAGAAATTAAGTAGCGCACCACCCCTGAAAGTATGCAAAAATTGCAGGGAAAATAAATTTTCCCTATTACAACCGATGTTATTGTTGTAATTTTATAGTAGTGTTGTTAGTAAGCGTTTGTTTAGCATTATACAACCATGTTGTAGATTCTTGTTGTTGTTGCTATTGTTGTATTGAAATTTAAGTTAACTAATCAACTTATTTCTTAAGCTGGCAGCACTTTGGGTTTTGAACTTTACTAGCGGCATTGCCTTCTTGGCACTGTTGAGTAAATAAATAAAAAAATGTATAGTAATAATATTAATTTTATAAATAAATTAAAATTGCATATATTTCTATAAGTATCTTATTTCGAAGGTCATAAATTTTAATTTTAAAAAAATAGTTAAGGTCTCTATCAAATTTACTTGCAAGAAAAATAGATCTTTTGTGCCTACATCTCATCATAATTAAACAGAAAACACTCAGTTTATTGGTTCAAAATTTTTTGAAAATAGACAGCGATAGCAACTCTGTCGACCCCAAAAATCTGAATAAACACAAAACTTGACTGCAAGTCTTATCCTGTTTTAGGCATAGACAATATTTTATCATCTTAAACATAAAACACTCAGTTTTAATATCAAACAACGATTGGTTCACTTCCGATTCAAATAAAATCTGAAGAAACACAAAAATTAACTGAAAGTGTCATCCCCGTTCTAGGCAAAGACAATATTTTATCATCTCAGACAGACAAAAGACTTTATAATAGCAGACGGCGATAGAATCCATTCTGACCCAAATAAAATCTGAACAATCACAAGTCTTTAAATAACTTCAACACTTTAAAAACCTTCTCTAATTTGAACGGATAAATTCTTCCGGAATCACTGTTAAGTATTTCGCCGGGTACTGTTTTTTTAATATATATATTATAAAGAACAACAAGTCTGTAGAGAGTGAAATCTGTTACTTTTTCATTCACACTCTATTTTATAATACTAAATAAGATTCACGTTCTTATAAATATCTAATAAGTATTTAATTAAATGAAGTGTTAGTAGATTTTATTGTTTATAACTAATCCAATTTTTTACTATTTTTATTACAGATAAAAGCACTAGTAGAAGAAGTTGAACGTTTACGTTCTCTAGAACAAACACACATTGTACAAATCCACAGACTTGAAGATCATTTGGAAGCCAAACGACAACATATATTACGCTTGGAAGCACGTCTTGATAAGCAAGAAATCAATGCTGCTCTAGCTGAGACATCAGCCATTGCTGCAACACCCGCCAATGATGAAGCTGACATATATGAAATTGCAGACAATGAGAAAGAAAATAATAGTGCAAAACATAATATGGAAACAGATGAGATTGAAGATAATGCAGATGAAATTGTTGCCAATAAGGAATGTGAAAGTCTTACACCAACAACGCCAACAATCAATGAGCTCAAAATCAAAAAAGAAAACCAGTAAGTAAAACTATTTATTAAATTATTTATAGTAGTTAACTATATTTTTTTGTTTAAATTAATTTTTAATATTGACTCAAAAGTTCAAGTCAAGTTTTGGAACGGCTGAATACACCTATTGTTGTTATTAAGTTTTTTATAATTTTTTTTATTACTTGTTATTATTTTTTTTGTTTTTGTTATAAATTCTAATAAACTTTATTATTATTCTTTTTTTTCTTCATGCAGAAGCCCACTCGACTTGGATGCAATAAGCCAACAATCAGCAATTGCTGCCGCTGCTGCAGCTGCTGCTGCTTGTGCAAATGATCCAAATAAATTCCAGGAACTGCTGTTGGAACGTACCAAAGCCCTAGCAGCCGCCGAGGCATTGAAGAGTTCCGAGGGTAAGTACTTTCTAAATGCTAAATGTTGTTAACCTTGCCGTTTCGCTGTTCTTCTCTTAAAATTATTTTATTTGCCTTTATTTCATTGTTGTACTGTGTGTAATGAGCAATGTTAAACACAATAACAGTCATAAAAAATAAATCTGCAATCAGTTATAAGACAATAAATATTTTATCAACAAACAAACAGACATATATACACATACACACAGGCACACCATTACACATTGTTACTTATACTTTGCGTTGCGTTAATTTTTATTATTTTTCAATATTAACAACAAATCAACAACAATTATTTGCTGTTTGCTTTATTGGTGAAAAAAGAAAAAAGGGCGTTGGCGGCAATTCAAAAAGTGGCGCCAAACTTTATTGTTGTTGTTACTGTGTCAACAGCAAGTCAATGGCTGGCTCCACTTCAAATTTATTTATACAAGAATAAAATAAATATAATTAAATGTAATTATAAAATATCATAAAAATTTATAAATAAATAAATAAAAATACACTCTGCTTATCTCTTTGTGGATGTTGGTGCTTGCATGCAATAGTTTTTTCATATATAATTTTTAACAGACAAAAACAAAAATATAAAACTAAAAATTTTAATAAAAATATATATATATATTATTATATAAAATATCACTCAAACTCATGATTTCTTTAACGAATTGGCTATAAAATTTTGAATTATTTTTGGCGTTTTTTTAAAACAAAAACTGGATGTTGTTGAAAATTTTGTTTTCTATTGCTACACTTTTATGCAATGATTTTTCTATCAAAAAAAAACTTTCATTTTCAATTTTATTGCTAACAACATATCATATTACGTTTAATTAAAAAACAAAAAAAAAACTATCAAAAAACAAACAATATTACTAAAAAACAAACAAACAATTGCAAACAACATTATGTGCTGTTATGTTCCACAGGAACAACAGTTGCCGTTGCTAGCAATAACGAGCATAAACAAAGTGAAGTAGCTGAAAGCGAAGTTGACATTGTAGCAGCAGCAACAGAAATTACCGCAGCGACAACAATAACAACAACAACAACAATTGTACCAAAAATCGAAATTGTCGATGATGACGACGACGATGATGATGATGATGATGAACATGAAACTGAAACTGACAACCAAATTGTTGATGATAATGACGACGATAATCAACAAAATAATGACAATGTTGAAACTGATGTTGTTAATAGAACCTCTCCAAAAACAACTCCACTTGTGCCAACAATAGATGTTGATGCTTTAGATAATACTAACAAACATGGTCTACATAGCCCACAACAAATTGCAGATGCAACTACAGCTGACCATACAAAAAGTTCAGCTTCAGCTGCTGTTAACGCTGCTGCGGCTTGTTTCAAACAGAACGCCGAACATTTTGGTTCACTTTTAGGCGAAGAACTAGTCAATACGTATTGGCGTCGTGGTTTTGATTTACCAACGTCATCAACAACAGCTGCTGCTGCTGCCGCCGCTGTTGCTGCGGCTGCTACAACAACATCAACAACAACAAAAACGCCAAATATATTTCAAAATGCCAATCAGCAACAACAACAACAAATGTTGCTGCCACCATTACAACCACAGCACCACCACCACCAACAGCCATTGTTGCCAACAACAGCCGTCCACCACCACCATCACCAGCAGCATATGCAACATGCACTACAGCAACAGCAACATGGACCTTCGTCCACAGCGTTGCTTAGCCAATTAGTTAATTCCACTTTCTCAAATAATTCTTCTCTACGTACAGATGCCATGCTACAACAACATCATCACTATCATCAACAACACTTGAGCGAACAACACGAGAAGTCGAGCAATATGCAACATGATTCGTCATCCAGCGCCAGCACACCAAATCTACACGATCAACGTTCCAATGATGAACATCATAGTGTACTCGGTCATTCGTTGAATGGTTCGTCGCATAAAGCGCTTGAAGACAACAATAATAGCTTGTGTGCCACACCCAATAATGCAATGACACCACACCATTTGCCACCAGGTTTCTTGCCTGGTCTACCATTCCAATTTCAGGAGCGTAGTCATTTTCGCTTCGCTGAAGACATAAATTTACCGCCAGGTGCTTCAATGGCTGGTCGTTTGGGTGAATCACTTATACCAAAAGGTGATCCAATGGAAGCCAAACTACAGGAAATGTTGCGTTACAATATGGACAAATACGCCAATCAAGCACTTGATACGCTGCATATTTCGCGACGCGTACGCGAATTGCTCTCAGTACATAACATCGGTCAACGGCTGTTTGCCAAATACATACTTGGACTCTCGCAAGGTACCGTCTCAGAGTTGCTGTCAAAACCAAAGCCCTGGGATAAACTTACCGAAAAAGGACGCGACAGCTACCGCAAAATGCATGCCTGGGGATGTGATGATAACGCTGTGATGCTGTTGAAATCGCTAATACCCAAGAAAGGTAAGTCAAATATTTTTACTCTAGTTTAGTGTGAAGATTGTAAAATGTGTTTTTGTAGCGAATTTACACGTTTAGTTTAGTTTGACAGTTCTTGAAAATGACAGCTTCAAAATTTTGACAGTTAAGTGCTTAAAAAGTGTTTAGTTAGAAATGCAGATGCGTATAAAATAATTAGTTATTCATTCATTACAAATTATCTTAAAACAAATTTTTAATTTATTTATACAACGAAAATAAATAAGGTATGAAAAAAGAATTAATAGACAATTAATAGTTCAATTTTTTACGATTTATGGAACCATTTCACAGATCCATCACACCTATCTAACTATCACCAATAAATAAATTTTAAATTTATTTGAACAATAAAGATAAAGAATCGATAAAGAAATAAAGAATATAGATTTAAAATTTAAAAAAAATGTTATTAATACCTAAATAGGCGTAAATAATATACTTTATGTTTTCTCTATTGAAATAGACATTAGAAAAAAATTATACACAAAAATATATGAATTTAAAACTAGTCGTAGAATAATAAAATTAATGGACATCTCCCGGAAACTATAGTGTTGGACCAAAGACATGTTTTTTAATGCCTAATAAGTAAGGAAAATGTTCTTACTAACATTTTTTTCCTTTCTTGACTTCACTTAAAATTTACAGAATATTTCTGGAAAACACACTGTACATATAATATATATATATTATATATGTTAGGATAACAGGTTTTTTTAAAAAATACTGCAAATGATGTTTTGCAAATGACAATTATGAATATGATGAATAAGGGAAAATCTTAATGTGAACTTAATGAAGCAAGTGAGAATTGTTAGCTATATTAAAAATGTTTAACTAATAGACTTCTCTTTGACGCCTTGTATATGCGTAAACAATAAAAATACACAACTTTTTCAATTTTTGAACTACTTTAGAGTTCCCAGAAAGATTCGGGAAAACATACTCTATTTATAAAAAGTATGCATTATAGGTTGATAGAGTTTTTAATAAAGTGTTTCCAATAATAATGTTCAGTATACGATTATAATATAACTTTATAAAAGCAAGTGAGAATTGTTAGCTAGTTTTTAAAATAAGTTTTTTTTTATAAGTTTTTATTTTTATAAATTTTTATTTAAGTAACTATAATAACACAAATTGAAAGAAAAACGCAACTTATATATCTTTCTACAAAACTAGAAAATCTTATTTAATTCAATTACCCCTCCTTACCCTAATTTTTCATTTTAATTAATCATTAATTTATTACAACAAAAGTGCTACCAATTCACAATTTGAATACTAGATGTCAAACCAATGCAATTATTTGCCAAATTAAAACAAAATCTGCACATCTCGCTGACAAATTTTATGCAAAATGGCTTTACAAGAAGCGCACACTTCGCTATATTGTCGATCAAATGTCGTTCATTCCTAACACGATACACAACATCCTGCCCCACCATAAAAACTCTCATTAGGTTGAACAGAAAATTCGCTAATTAGTTACAGACTGAAAAAATGCTATAAACTAGAAACTTATTAAACAAATACATATAAAAAAAAATTAAAGTTCATATATATTTTTATTTTGTAACAAACATATTTTTTTTTGTGTTTTATATTGAATTTGTAATCATTTTTAATGACGCCAAAATATGCGCAATTTTATTAGAAAACATATATTTTCTGATGAGTGCTAGAGTATAGCAGTAATAAAACTAGAACAGAAATTTAAATTTAAAGTTTAAATACAGTATTTGCAGTGTTTAGTTTCTGTCATTTTAGAAATTCTAATATAAAATAAAATTCTTCAAAAATTGAACACTCAGAAATTAACGACTAACGACAACAAAAAGATAAAAAGATATAAAGAATAAATGAATTCTGCTGGATCAAAGCCAAACATTGAGAATTGTAAAATTTTAATTATTTTTGATTTTTTTACAAATAATCAGTTTTATGCATTTTTATTGGTTAAAATTGCTTGTCACATCATATTTTTTGGCACTTGATGCATTTCTTTTTGCAAATAACTAAAATTTAATGAAGTCGAAAAAAATAATATATACATTTAAAATGTATATACAATTATTTTATATGCTAATTATTACATATATTTTCATTACAATTTCAAAAAAAATAATTATCATTAATATATACATAATAATACTATGAAATCAATGCCAAAAGAACTGACTACTAATTTAACTACTAAATAAATTTATATTATCTCCAAACAGCAGAGCCCACTTATCAAGCTCAGCTTTTGCTGTCACGATATTTTTTCTCTCCAGAAAGCAATAATAAATAAAGGCACGAAATTACTCTGTATCCATTGTTTCGAAAAACAAGGAGTAAAGTTATTGAAACAGTTATAACTGAGTGAGTTATCCTTCAAATGTTAAGAAACTTTGACAAATACAAATTGAAGTTTGCCACTTTTTAAAATTTATTTGGATATAACATAAGTGGTGCTGCTGGTGTGTCATTCTATAGACTTAACAGCCAATATGTTAAGAGAAATTATTTTTACCTTTGAACATATGTACAGATATTGCTCAAATAAAATCTACATTTTTTAAACAATGAACTATAACCAAAATAAAAATTTGAATTAAGCTTCGTAATTATGTGCAGTGCTGCTATTTTTTATAATCCCTCAAAGAACAACAATTAACCATTTAGGCACAGGCACTCATTATTACACAAGTATATTACACAAATACACATGTATTGTACAACAGCACCCACTTTCCCATGCATGGAATTGGTCTACTAAATAAGAATTATATAAAACACATCAAAAAATCCTCCACATTATTTACTAAAGTATTAAGATCAGACATGGAAAATGAGTTAGAAAGCGCCTATTTCAAATCCCATGTTGCAGGTAGTTTTATTTTTGTTCTAATATTTTTGCTTTGTTAATTTATTTTTTATATTTATCTTTAAATTAATATACTAAAAAACTTTAATACATGTATGTAATTAAATGTTACAGGAAATGGCAAGAATAGGTAAACTTATACAAAAAATATAATAAACACTAAATATAATCTTCACTACTTAATTTAATTTACATCAATTACAAAGTAAATCCCTTCACTTTACTCACATATAAAATGCTCAACATGAGTATTGAGCCAATGCCCAACTAACTCCACGAAATTCACTTTACTTGAGTATTGAGCCAATGCCCAACTAACTCCACGAAACAACATCATTATTGTTGCAAATTTTTTATTTTCTTTTTTGTACACAGTTTTTGCAATTGCAATAATGCACAAGTATTATATATTCAGAATTATACCACTGAATAATCTGAAGAAGACTATAGTCGATATATTGGTGACAATAAGATATATTTTTAATAATAATTTAAAAAGTTGTGTATTATTTAAACAATTGCCTAATTAGCCACTTCAAAATTATATATATGAAATTTGATCATTCAAACATTAAATTGTATCAAAACATGAAAATTTGTGTAGAAAACATATATATAATCGTTTTAAATTTCAACAAAAAATGGAAAATAAAATGAAAATAAATTATTTTGTGCATAATATTGTAAAAAAAGTCTTCAACTACAAAACAGTAACTGAGCTATTGACAATAACAATTAAAAAAAAATAAAAACTTTGCTATATATATTATGCCAATACTGTCTGCGTTCCCAAATGAAGTTTAAATTTCTGTACTTTAGCTTTTTATTTATTTAAAAAAAATTTATTTCAACTCTTGCACTTTATCTATTTTTTCTCAGTTTTTACGATTTTCCTTTTATTTCTATATCGTTAAATTTATGCAATTTTTAATTACTAACCTATGAAGTTAAGCAAAAATAAAAAGATTAAGAGCAGACAAAATTACAACCTTGTGCCTTTCACGTTACCACCCCTAAAAAACTGCTAAAGAAATTTTTTTGTGAAATTTACTGCCTATTTGCAGGCGTAAATGCCAAATATTCTTATAGTTAAAATTACCTAAAATAACTGCCACGAAATAATGGAAAAAAAAGAAAAAATTTAAAAGTTTTACTTTTGGCAAGTAAAGATTTCAATCAGTGCAATCAATAATTTACGTTAGAAACTAAAAATTATACAAAATATAAATTCAGTAAGAAATGAAAGAGTTAGGGGAAATCAGAGGCGAGCGTCTCGGTTAACTCCATAAACACAAAAAGCATGCACAATTGCATGTTAGATTTTTGTAGATAACATTTTTTGTTTTAATTTTATTGATTTAATGCTTATTTTAATAAACAAAATACACAAATATAAATTTTCAGTTGAACTTACATTGAGAACAGTTTAATATCAAATTACAATGGTGTTATAATATAATTTAGGAGAAAATATAGTTTCTTTAAAGGTAATGTGCAAAAGCTATAGTAGAGCTATGGTCCTAACACATTATTTGCTCGCATACTTACAACTTGAAGTTGTGATAGTTACGACTCTGCGAGTTGTTACTAATATATTGTTGATATTTCATATGTTTTCTACTATAACAAACCCATAGTAGAACTATGACCCTAATTCACCATTTGCACACAATCTTACGACTTATAATTGAGAATTTATATCCTGCTTACTATTACACATAGATCGATACTTTAAATATCTTCAAACATCTTCTGCTATGCCAAAGCCGTTGTAGAACTATGGCCCTTACAACATCTGCTCACAATCGTATGCCTTGCAATTTAGAATCTATACCCATAAGTCCATAGTATAGATCCAGAATTCATAATGTATGTATGTATGTTGATCCTTTTTTCGTGTCAGCGCAACTGGGCACTCTTACTCTTTGATAGCTGGGGGTACTACAAGGTCCCATTGACTATGGTAATTTATGTATTCCTTATAAGCTTCATGATTATTCAGTAATTGATCTAAGATCTGCGTACCTCCCCGTGCGGAGAGTGATTACACTAAGATTAGATAGTGCTAAGTAGGATGGCCTGTCAGTTTTCGCATATAAATTCAGGGCTC